TTTTTACTTTGTCATTATGGGGTATTGTGTGTAGATTGGTGAGAAAATATATTTAATCCATTTTGAATTCAGGCTGTAACAACAAAATGTGGAATAAGTCAAGGGGTATGAATACTTTGAAGGCACTGTATATATTTAAAATCATATTGAAATACATTTCATGTTCAATCAATTGAGCACTATTTTGCTAATTGTAGACTACTGTAAAAAAAATGTGGCTCAATATACTTCATGATGCGTAACATGTGCGCAGATTTGTGTGCCAAATCTTGATTTAGTGCATTATTATAGGATAAGCATTAGAATAAGCCGCCTCAATATTTGCAGCCATAGGTGATATAATCTCTAGGAGCTGATCCGTCGTCAGTATTGTGGAACAATTTTAATGCTAAGGTAAGATTTGAATGGAGAAAGCTTATCTGATCTTTCGATCCTATCAGCATCGACACATGCTTCGATGACTCACTTATTAAACATTCTCTCTACGGGGTGTTTAGGGAAATGCATGTTACATCTTCGGCCCTTGTAGGAAAGATGCATCATTAAAACACTCCAAACTTCCATCGCTATTGGGAAACCGGTCCTAGGGCTAAATGAACAGCAGGTTGTTACTGCATCAGCATCCCTTTTTCAAGTTCATACAGATCCCTCCGCCTCATTCATCTAAGACACAGACAGCCATTGTGTCTCCTGCAGACAAGCTGGGGACAGCAAACACCTGGCTGGACCACACACTTGCCAAAAGACCCCACAGCAGGCCACACAAAATGCCACATGCCATGATGAGTGTCTGGAATCCCAGGCCATGGAGGGTGCTGATGGGTAGGGTATCTGTGCATTGGGCTTGGAGGGGTGGGATCGCTATCCACCACTGACAGACTTCCCTACAAGGTAATCTTGCTGTCCAAACAATAAAAGCAGCTGAGAGATCCTCCCCCTCATCCCACCCCACACCGACTGGCCCTATCAGTATCTGGGCCCGTACTGAACATGCACCAGCCAGGGACCAGGTCAGTCTCTCCTCAGTCCTGCGGAACTGCAACACCCCTGGCTACAGACACATTATGTTGATGACTACTAGCTATGTGCAATAAACACATTGACGAGTGGAGCGGGAGGCTGGCTGTGTCAGGGCCCACAGTGGTACCCTGACAGGCAGGGCCAGAGATTGGCCCGTTTAGTATTCTGCTCACAGCTCAACCAGTAAGTGCAGCCTGCGTCCTCTGCCTCAGCAGTAAGCTGGCATCTGCGTCATGACCAGCCTTCCTGCATGGCAGGGGGTCACACTGGGGATTTGGGAAAACATTCAGAAAGCAGCCTCACAGAAACCAATATGAAAAGGCTCTGCAGGATTTACCCAATGTGCTCTCTAAGCTTAGGTGACATTCTCAATCTCCACCTGACAGCATCCACAACGCATCACTCGGACAATATAATTACCAACTGTTCCCTTGAAGAGAGTCTGGTTTCCGAGCAAGGCTGTTAGCCATTTTCCTGGGTAAACACACAGCAAAACCATAAGCGATCTTCACTCTACACAACCAATCATGCATACACTCAACAAACATCTGCGGCCCGTCAGATAGTCCAGGATCCAGTTGCAGAGCGAGGTGTTTAGTCCCAAGGTCATTAGCTTAGTGATGAGCTTTGAGGGCACTATGGTGTTGAACGCTGAGCTGTACATACATTTTACATTTTAGTCATTTAGCAGACGCTCTTATCCAGAGCGACTTACAGTTAAGTGAGTGCATACATTTTCATACTGGCCCCTCGTGGGAAACGAACCCACAACCCTGACGTTGCAAGCGCCATGCTCTACAAACTGAGCTACAGGGGACTGTAACATATGAAGCACAAAGAGGCTGGAATTCACACAGCAAGGACCAGTCAAGGATTCTTGGGCAACAAATAAAGGCAAATATACAGAACACCCACTAATACATCCAGGACCCACTTTGATAACATATCATCATGAAGGTACTGTTAAACATCAACCCCCAAACCAAATGTTCCATCACTCTAAAACAATGGGTTGAATAGAAAATGCACTCAGTGCTGCCGGTGCCCTTCTCAAGGTGAGTTTGGAGTCCTGCTTGGAGTCCCACGTCATACATGGCAAGACTTTTCCCCAGAGAGGAACTACCGTCATTGCCTGCTATAAATACACCATTATTCCATAATCTAGACAGGCTAAAAATAAAACCCACCACTATGCACAGAAAAACCCAGTATCACCTCAGTGGCTTAGGGTTAAACCAAGTATCATGATAACGTTAGCGCTTCAAAGACTCCAGCATTTTACTGCACATCAGTTGACTACGTCTACATCCATCCCCCCTGCACTGCAGCCACATGCTTTCCAGGACACAATTCCACTGAAAATCAATCAGAAACATCTCTCTCTCTGCTAAAGTGCTAGTCACTCCAGGCTCTTTCACAAGCTACACTGAGGAAATGTGAGAGACGAGCCACTCCAAGGTTGAGTTTACCGGCTCCAATGGATATGTGCTAGCATGGTGCTATGGTTGAACTCAATGTGAGCCTCGAAAAGGTGGTGTGCCGTGTGCAGTGCACCTTCGTGAGTTTAGCACCCCAGGAAACATGCACACGTGATTCGAGAGGTCCTTAGCACCACTAGTGCCTAGTCCTCTGGGACAATGGGTTAATAGAAACATCCAAAAATACACCACTCCTGTAGGGTGTCACCTCTGCAGTGGGACTGGGGGGGAGAGGGCAATTGAAATGAGCTTTTGCTGCTCAACGTCAGCCTGACCATGCCTGGATTCATGAGTCCGGTTAAAAATAACATTTACCGTGCCTTGCAGAAATATTCATCCCCCTTGGCATTTTTCCTATTTTGTTGCATTACAACCTTTCATTTAAATGGATTTTTATTTGGATTTCATGTAATGGACATCCACAAAATAGTCCAAATCGGTGAAGTGAAAAAAATAACTTGTTTAAAAATTTTCTATAAAATAAATAACGGAAAAGTGGTGCGTGCAAATGTATTCCCCACCTTTGCTATGAAGCCCCTAAATAAGCTCTGGTGCAACCAATTACCTTCAGAAGTCACATAATTAGTTAAATAAAGTCCACCTGTGTGGAATCTAAGTGTCACATGATCTGTCACATGATCTCAGTATATATATACACCTGTTCTGAAAGGCCCCAGTCTGCAACCCCACTAAGCAAGGGGCACCACCAAGCAAGCGGCACCATGAAGACCAAGGAGCTCTCCAAACAGGTCAGGGACAAAGTTGTGGAGAAGTACAGATCAGGGTTGGGTTTTAAATAAATATCCGAAACTTTGAACATCCCATGGAGCACCATTTAAATCCATTATAAAAAAATGTCATGCTGGAATACCCATCCATGACCCATTGTCAATGCCCTGGCTGAGGGAAGGAGGTTCTCACCCAAGATTTGACGGTACATGGCCCCGTCCATCGTCCCTTTGATGCAGTGAAGTTGTCCTGTCCCCTTAGCAGAAAAACACCCCCAAAGCATAATGTTTCCACCTCCATGTTTGACGGTGGGGATGGTGTTCTTGGGGTCATAGGCAGCATTCCTCCTCCTCCAAACACGGCGAGTTGAGTTGATGCCAAAGAGCTCAATTTTGGTCTCATCTGACCACAACACTTTCACCCAGTTCTCCTCTGAATCATTCAGATGGCCCTGTATATGTGCTTTCTTGAGCAGGGAGACCTTGCGGGCGCTGCAGGATTTCAGTCCTTCACGGCGTAGTGTGTTACCAATTGTTTTCTTGGTGACTATGGTCCCAGCTGCCTTGACATCATTGACAAGATCCTCCCGTGTAGTTCTGGGCTGATTCCTCACCGTTCTCATGATCATTGCAACTCCACGAGGTGAGATCTTGCATGGAGCCCCAGGCCGAGGGAGATTGACAGTTATTTTGTGTTTCTTCCATTTGCGAATAATCGCACCAACTGTTGTCACCTTCTCACCAAGCTGCTTGGCGATGGTCTTGTAGCCCATTCCAGCCTTGTGTAGGTCTACAATCTTGTCCCTGACATCCTTGGAGAGCTCTTTGGTCTTGGCCATGGTGGAGAGTTTGGAATCTGATTGATTGATTGCTTCTGTGGACAGGTGTCTTTTATACAGGTAACAAGCTGAGATTAGGAGCACTCCCTTTAAGAGTGTGCTCCTAATCTCAGCTCGTTACCTGTATAAAAGACACCTGGGAGCCAGAAATCTTTCTGATTGAGAGGGGGTCAAATACTTATTTCCCTCATTAAAATGGAAATCAAATTTATAACATTTTTGACATGCGTTTTTCTGGATTTTGTTGTTGTTATTCTGTCTCTCACTGTTCAAATAAACATACCATTATAATTATAGAGTGATCATTTCTTTGTCAGTGGGCAAACGTACAAAATCAGCAGGGGATCAAATACTTTTTTCCCCTCACTGTAAATGTCTTGGAATGGCCTAGACAAAGCCCAGACCTCAATCCAATTGAGAATTTGTGGTATGATTTAAAGATTGCTGTACACCAGCAGAACCCATCCAACTTGAAGGAGCTGGAGCAGTTTTGCCTTGAAGAATGGGCAAAAATCCCAGTGGCTAGATGTGCCAAGCTTATAGAGACATACCCCAAGAGACTTGCAGCTGTAATTGCTGCAAAAGGTGGCTCTACAAAGTTTTGGGGGTGAATAGTTATGCACGCTCCAGTTCTGTTTTTTAGTCTTATTTCTTGTTTGTTTCACAATAAAAAATATTTTGCATCTTTAAAGTGGTAGGCATGTTGTGTAAATCAAATGATACAAACCCCCCAAAAAATCAATTTTAATTCCAGGTTGTAAGGCAACAAAATAGGAAAAATGCCATGGGGGGTGAATACTTTTGCAAGCCACTATACCTGAGTGAGGTGTCCTTTTTTTCCTAACAAAGACTAAGAACTGTTTTGGTTAAATCTTAAACAATGGTTATTCATAAGCCAAATTACTGAATCATCAAAAATGGTGTAGGTATGCATCCTACAGCACTGAGAAAGACAGGGCCAACTTACCAGCAACCTCCACAATGTCTCCAGGCACGATTTCTTTGGCCTTGATCCTCTGAACAGTCTTCCTGTCCTGGCGGTAGACCTTGCCCATCTCAGGCTCGTACTCTTTAAGGGCTTCAATGGCATCCTCAGCATTGCGTTCCTGTGTAGATTAGAAATGTTGACTGTGTGGTTACATATTACATACTGAAATAGATGATCTGATGACATTATAGATTTAAAATCAAATAAGCCTATTTGACTTTTCACCATCCCACAAACTGCAGATATGTGACTTCTTTTAAAAGGCACAATCTGTCACTTCAACAGCCTAACCATGCAGTTTTGTTTCATTAATTCTGATGGATGGGGCTGGCAAAATGTAACCACAGTCATAGACAGCAGGAAATATTTTTAGAGCTAGTGCATGACCAGGTGATTCCCTTTGCATATTTTCAATTCAGAAAATAGTCAATTTCTGTACTGATTATGCTTAAGAAAACAGAAGTGTAAGTTGTTAACACTGTGTCATAGGGAAAGACACATTTATGAGAACAGCAGCTAAATAAGAAAATTCACACACTGTGCGAAAGTCATGTTTGTGTTTACTCAATAACTTAGAGGAATAGAATGCTTGGTCCTAAAGTCCACATTTCCTGACCAGCTTCAACATATAAGTGCTTCTGCATCTGCATTGCTTGCTCTTTGGGGATTTAGGCTTGGTATCTGTATGGCACTTTGTGAAAACAGTTGATGTAAAAAGGGCTTTATAAATTACATTTGATTGATTGATATCAGTTAATAAAGAGCCTATCATTTTCTGTTGAGCATGGTAATTTAGGGCTACGGGGACAGAGCTTGGTACTCAGTACTCCCGAGTGGCGCAGTGGTCTAAGGCACTGCATCGCAGTGCTAGCTGTGCCACTAGAGATCCTGGTTCGAATCCAGGCTCTGTCGTAGCCGGCCGCGACCGGGAGACCCATGGGGCGGCGCACAATTGGCCCAGCTTCGTCCAGGGTAGGGGAGGGAATGGCCGGCAGGGACGTAGCTCAGTTGGTAGAACATGGCGTTTGCAACGGCAGGGTTGTGGGTTCGCTACCCACGGGGGGCCAGTATGAAAAAATAAAAAGAATAATGTATGCACTCACTAACTGTAATTCGCTCTGGACAAGAGCGTCTGCTAAATAACTAAAATGTTAATGTTGGAGTCTACTCCATTGCACGCACTAGCTTGGCTTAATGAACATTCCTCCTAGGAGCTGCCTGGCAGTGTAAGCAAAGTCAACCAGCGTGACAGAAGTTCTATCTGACACTATAAATTGGCCATCTAAACTGAGTAAAAAAAACAACTATCAACTTGTTGTTTGAAACAGAGTGATTGCCAATATTTTATGCTCGTTCTTTGGCTGCACATAAATGCTTTATGGATTGGATTCAAATGTTCAAGGCCATTTGCTCACAAACATGCCATCTATGTTGAAGGCAGACTGCTGAGGAAATGTAGCCTAGTTCTTCTGGACAAACTCATGCAGGCCAGAAATATGCATGAGTTTAGACAGAAATAATACATCCTAAGGGAGCATACAGCCTAGTTGTGCTGCTACAGGCTGACTGCAAATATGGATTAGAGAATGTCTAAGAGACCACTGTGTGTAAACATCAGCAAAGCAACAGACATGTCAAGGCTGGGCGAGAGGAGGGGTTGTCACTTTTCTTTGGTCTCATCTAAACTGTCTCAAATGTAGTCAATGACCCACTTCTACTTTCCATTGAAAAGCATGTTAAATAGAGTAAAGCATCAAACGGGCATATGACCAAGAAGCAGAATGTATGAGACTTGTGGATACTCCTACCTGTAACTCTTTATGGTGGCCTGTTTCGCCTATAGTCACTAGCTAGCAGCATACAAGCTGTAGAAGTATTCCTTTCCACAGCCTGCACCAAAAAAATAGTTTCTGAATACTTTGTCATTGACATTGCAGCTCCACACTGACATTGAAGATACTGTAAAAGATGTCTAAATGATGTAATGTTAGTTGCTCACCTGCCACACACCCACTATGGCATTGGCTATAAGAATGAGTAAGATTACAAAAGGCTCCACAAAGGCTGTGATTGTTTCTTCTCCATCCTCGAACAAGGCCAAGACCTAAAGGTAAACAAGACAAAGATGATACATTATTGCACATAGGACATAGTACAGGAGTACGTAGCAACATTATTCCCCCTGGTTACTTACAACTACGCATTTAAATGATCATAATCATATTAAGAAGACTATGATTGAAGTATGTTGTGAAATAAGGTTGTACTAAATGTCATGATGGGGAACGCATGGCTGTTAGTGAGAGCTGTAAAAACAGACAAACTCCATCCATGCTTGCCAATGGACCCAACAACATCTGTATTTAAACATGGTAGTAGTAGAGTTTATGCATTCTGATATGACTGATTAATTTAGCAGTGGCCGTCACATTTCTAACATTTTTTAAAGCTTTGAGCTAATAAGTGCAAAATGTACCATTAACCTAATTTTAGTCTGGCAACATGATTTAATTTGAAACTTTTCTTCAACGATGGAGGTGATTATTGAACCAGAATTTCATTAAATCATGCTGCCAGATTTAATTTAGGTTTATGGTCAAGTTTGCACATAAATTGCATTTGCACTACACAACTGTCAATCAAACTCAGAAAATAGAGTAAGGCTACAAAGCTTAGAACAGATTGACTGGATTTGTAATGCTGTATCTGTAATTTCAGTGTCAGCACAGCACATAACAGTACATTTGGCCAAATTAATCAATGGCCCTCAGTATCATGCACAGTATGCATGTCAAAATGAGCAGCTGAAACCAACAGACAACCATCTTACCACCTCAAACCAACCCCCCCCCCCAACCAGTTACCAGGAGGACCACTGCTTCTGTAATCAGTCACAACCCACACATTGTGCATGTAACAAAGCCCTTCTCCAACTCAGCACTCTTCCTCTCTCACAAACAGGAGATAAAAACACTTCTGGGAGTGGGACTCATTTGAATAATGTCCCTCTTAACTGCTGAGAATAAGCGCACACAAATTCACTTCAACGAGACAAAGCTGCATAACACTGACAGCATCATGAACACCCTGCTGCACCCGTTTCTTTCCGTCTATTAGCCTATTACTCCCACAATCAGATCCGACTTAATAACTGACCACCGACCAAAAGTATGGGAGTGAGGGGCATGGGGTGTGGTGTATTCGTCTGGCGGGTGTCCTCCCACTGAAGGTCAGAGCCCAAATTTGGTCTTCAGTAGGGCCCTGTCCCCTGGTCAGACAGCAGCCACCGACACCTCCATATCGCACGGCTGGGTACACTACATCCCAGCTCCTCTAGCAGACTAACACACCGCACACGCGCACACACACACCAGGGATTATAGATTCCAGCTCTTGAACCCTCCATACTGGCCTCAAAAGGACCCCATCTCCTCAAGTCAAGGTGCTTAGTATCTGACACTACATTTTCCAATGCAAAAACATCCGTCTGTCCACTACCTAAGAACATGAATAGTAAACACAGATGTAGAGGAACACTGATAATACTGTAGAACTATGGAATTTAGGCTAGATCACTGCATACTGTCAGTTAAATTTCCACCAAAACATTTAGCTTGTGTATAGGCTTCTTACTCCCAATAACGATGTAACGTTAAATGTCCAAACACGAGGAGAAAGGCAAACTACCAGCAAGAACCCTGATAGAAGTGATTACGCTGAAAGAGTATAAGATGACTCAAATGTCTTGTTAGACACATGGTGATAGCAACTCGATTCAAGCAACTGCTGTTGTCACCATTCCTCAGACGTGTAGCTAGCCTTCTCAGCTGTTTAGCAGCCTGATCTGAGAGTGTAACCTCAGCAGAGGCATACAAACACTTGCTGTCCACACCTCTCATGCCACTAGGCCAAACAAACGTTCCCTTTCCATTAGACAGCCCACTCCTACTCACAAGCTTTTTTCAGCACCTCCAGACAGCAAGCAGATGATCAGATGATTTAGGGGTTTGCTTATAAGACAACTTAACACAGCACATCGGGATTGTCACATCTGCGTAATAAACCAAATTAATCAAATGCATTCACAATTCTATTAATTTAAAACCTTTACAGTGACACCAAGAATACCGTGACTAAATTATCAGAGTGACATGCTTCTAATACTCACATCAATCTATATTTGTCTAATGTAAAATGTTGGCTGATTGATATCAAGGACTAGCCTATTAAAAGGGGGAAAACAATTTAGTGTGTCCTAAACCCCATCTCAGAAACAAAGAGTCCAGGTGATATACTTACAAAAGATATACAAGCTGCCAGCAGAAGAATTCGTACAAGTAAATCTTCAAACTGTTCAACAACAAGCTCCCATAGAGACTTCCCTGTGGAATGAAAGAGGTGTAAAATGACATGAAATCAAGAAAAAGAGAATGCATCACATAGGCTACGTTTACACATGCAGCCCATTCCTGATATTTTTTCACTAATTGGTCTTTTCACCAATCAGATCAGCTCTTTTGCAAATAATTGGGCAAAATATCAGAATTAGGTTTAATTTTTACAACAAACTATTTTCAACAAGTGTTACCTTCTTCAGCAGGTAGCTCTGGAGATGGTCCAATCCAAAGTGCATCAAGGAAAAGAGAACACACCATTAGGGAAAATGGTTTAGTAACGGTTATTAAAATTCTGACAATCAATCATGATATGGCATTGCAATTTGTTGATCTCCACCTCAGCTTTGACTACCACCGACCCATATGACTCCCACTAACCCCCTATGTGCTGGTTTAGATTGTGCAAAGCTAAACCTTTGCCATCAGAAACCTGAAAAACAGGGATTTCATTGAATTGCATTCACTGCATGAAACCACAGCCTTGAATTCAGCGGAGTCATTAACAGTATCAAAAGTCGTAGAGGGTAAGCATATTACCCAATCAATGTTTGAATTCATGGTGGTGACCATACTATAGGGAACTTTTTTTAACCCATGTTTTCAGAGGTCACCTTGAATGTTGTCAGACACCCAATATATCTTGTGTATATCTCTGACCTCCTCCCTATAGGCTGTCTCATTATCGTTGGTGATCAGGCCTACCACCGTCATGTTGTCGGTCATGCACGGCCAGGGAGTACAGGAAGGGACTAAGCCACCTGCCTACCCTCACCACCTGGGGTCAATCCGTCAGGAAGTTTTATATTTTCCATGTCCTTGTTCAACCACGTCTCCGAGAAACATAGGATGTTACAGTTCTTCAGGATCACGTTGATAGGATAGTCTCGAACGGAGCTCGTCCAGTTTATTCTCCGGTGATTGCACGTTTGCCAATAGAACGGAGGGTAGAAGCGGTTTATCCACTTGCCGACGTAGACTCGTCAGGTATGCCGCACGCCGGCCTCTATAACGCTGCCTCTTCCTTTTACGAGTGTCTGGGATTTGGGCCTGGTCCGGGATGAGCAGTATGTCCTTCGCCGCCGACTCATTGAAGTACAAATCCTCATCCAAATCGAGGTTAGTGATCACTGTTCTGATGTCCAGAAGCTCTTTTCACTCATGTTCAAAAAAAGTTTAAGATCAGTGCAAAAAAAAAAAGGAGCCCGTAAAAATAAAACTAGTTTTATTTTTGAAAGTTTACACAAATATGGGTATGTGGACTACAGAAAACGGGGGGCCGAGCACGCCCCCATTCACATCGATAGGGCTGTGGTGGAGCGGGTTGAGAGGTTCAAGTTCCTCGGTGTTCACGTCACTAAGGACCTATCATGGTCCAAACACCAACACAGTCGTGAAGAGGGCATGACAACGTCGCTCTCACCTCAGGAGACTGAAAAGATTTGTCATGGGCCCTCAGATCAAAAAGTTCTACAGCTGCACCACTGAGCGCATCTTGACTGGCTGCATCACCGCTTGGTATGGCAACTGTATGGCATCCGACCGCAAGGCGCTACAGAGGATAATACGTACATCACTGGGGGCGAGCTCCCTGCCATCCAGGACCTCTATACCAGGCAGTGTCAGAGGAAGGTCCTCAAAATTGTCAAAGACTCCAGCCACCCAAGTCATAGAATGTTCTCTCTGCTACCGCACAGCAAGCGATACCGGAGCGCCAAGCCTCCTGAACAGCTTCTACCCCCAAGCCATAAGACTGCTGAACAGTTAATCAAATGGCTACCCGGACAATTTGCACTGACTCTTGCTCTATGCACACTCACTGGACTCTACCCACACATACTACACTGACACTCCAACACACACACACACACATATTGACGCCACACACACTTTCACATTCTTCATATAGGCTGCTGCTACTCTGTTTATTATCTATCCTCAGTGCTTAGTCACTTTTACCCCTACCTACATGTACAGTGGGGAGAACAAGTATTTGATACACTGCCGATTCTGCAGGTTTTCCTACTTACAAAGTATGTAGAGGTCTGTAATTTTTATCATAGGTACACTTCAACTGTGAGAGACGGAATATAAAACAAAAATCTAGAAAATCACATTGTATGATTTTTAAGTAATTAATTTGCATTTTATTGCATGACATTTTCTATGGGGTTGAGATCTGGAGACTGGCTAGGCCACTCCAGGACCTTGAAATGCTTCTTACGAAGCCACTCCTTCGTTGCCCGGGCGGTGTGTTTGGGATCATTGTCATGCTGAAAGACCCAGCCACATTTCATCTTCAATGCCCTTGCTGATGGAAGGAGGTTTCACTCAAAATCTCACGATACATGGCCCCATTCATTCTTTCCTTTACACGGATCAGTCGTCCTGGTCCCTTTGCAGAAAAACAGCCCCAAAGCATGATGTTTCCACCCCCATGCTTCACAGTAGGTATGGTGTTCTTTGGATGCAACTCAGCATTCTTTGTCCTCCAAACACGACGAGTTGAGTTTTTACCAAAAAGTTCTATTTTGGTTTCATCTGACCATATGACATTCTCCCAATCCTCTTCTGGATCATCCAAATGCACTCTAGCAAACTTCAGACGGGCCTGGACATGTACTGGCTTAAGCAGGGGGACACGTCTGGCACTGCAGGATTTGAGTCCCTGGCGGCGTAGTGTGTTACTGATGGTAGGCTTTGTTACTTT